TATTGAGTTGGTGGGGAAGTTGGAAACTGGAGTCTAATGAGTTCCTGAAGCACATGGTTCAACACATGGAAACCATTTTCTGAAATGTATGACTTCTTAGAGACTTTGTCTCCTCTTTCCCATGACCAGTTGGGCTAATTCTGCAAGCACAAAATATACTAAAGCCAAAATGCACTGGCAAGGTTGGTAGAAGTTTCAGGAGGCGCCCTGGGACATGGAAGACCTTCTGGAGGTGGGAAGGGTGGTGGCCATTCTTGGGTGAGTCTTCTGCACCCTGCCACAGTTTCTTTTTCAAAGATACTGCTTATTCTTTCCTGTTTTTCCAGCCCTGATGACTGAGTTGGGCAGTGAGACCTAGGGGGTTTGTGAACATCCCCTGTTACATGCCACAAGTCTTCATAAGGGGGCTGTGGCATGCATCATGTTCCGAATGTGTTGATCATAAAGCCTGTTGTCACAAAACAATCAGAACTAGTAATCTGAGGCACTTATTTTTGTAATAGTGGATGTTATGATACTCTGTAGACCCAGTGGTGGGAGGATGGACAATATGCCATGAATGGTGGTGCAATCATTTTATTTAGATTACTAGAGGCCCGGTGCACGAAATTCGTGCACAGGTAGGGTCCCTAGGCCTGGCCGGCCATCAGGGCCAATTGGGACCTTCTGGCTGCCGGCCGGGGCCTCCCTACCCCAGCTGCCAGCTGCCGGCCTGGGCCTTCCTTTGTTCCGTGCCGCCCCCTGGTGGTCAGTGCACATCATAGTGAGCGATCGGTCTCCTTTTGAACTCCTGAGGGGACAATCTAGAAAGTCATCCCAGGTGCCAGTGGGAAATGAGGCACACATTTTGGGTTTGGGTTGGTCACATGGACCCTTGAAAGGTATATTCTTGTTCCAGGCCCCACCTCAGCTTCCAAATGTCCAGGATTGGTACATTGTAGATGCTGAGACCAGGTCTAGGAAATGTTGTCAGACTGACTCAAGCCTTTATTTGTACTAGGGAGGGAGGTAAAGGAACTTCCTTATGATGCACTTAGGAGAGGAATTACCCCTAGAGGAACTAGAAGTTACCTGATTCTGGTCTCCCTGGGTGAATGTCGTGTAGACTAAGTCCTCAGATGGTTAGGACCCCTGTCACTCATCTTGATTACCCAGGCCCCTGCCACTGCTACGGGGCCTCCAAATTCATCTTAAACATTCCCTGAACTTCCAAGTCTTTGGTGGATATTTGGGGAGCTGCCCACATTCCCTAGAGTCTGCATCTGATGGCTAACCCATTTCTTGTCTCCTTTCTCCTGGCTTTTGCCAAATGTAACTGATCTCTAGAACAAAATCAAAACATTCTATAGACTTGCATACTTCAAAGCCATATATTGACTGACACCTCTAGCTGAGAATGTTCCTAACCAGGATTCAAAAAATAGCACTGCAGATGTCTGTCCTACACAGGGGGAAAAACAACTGCTACCCTTGACAACCTACTACTTAGATTGATCCAGAGCAAACGTCTGCTCGGTGGTAAATGGATTCTTTTGGTAGACACCTGTTCTTAGAGCAGGGTCTTCCAACTTCCAGATTTTGTTTTGTATTTTGTTTTGTTTTGCTTTGCTGGGGCAGGCCTTTGTCTGTCTTCATTTCTAAAGTCTGGATCTTATGTTTCTCCCGTGTGGCTTGCCGATTACAGACAGTAAAACAAGAAGGCCACCATTTCCTTCAGCAGGAGACGTTGCTAAGTCTAACCTCTACTTTGTTTCCGCACCCACCTCATGTCAGAAGCGTAACCCTCCGGGGAACAGCCCTTTGCAGATGTGGAGTATGAGCTGTGGGGCCAGGCTCTCTGGGTTCAGATTCTGGCCATGTGACCTGGGAAGTTAACCTCGGAATCCTGGGAAATAATAGTAAGCACCAGCCTCAGAACTGAGCGTGAAATACAGTCTTACTCATGAAGTGTTTAAATATGCCTGGTATATGTGAATATTGCTGTTTCTAGCACACACACTAGGTTTTTTTATTACATCACATTTTTAAGATAGTAACCAGCCCTGTGCTTGGACATCTCACTAAAACACCGGGAATGTTTTTTATCTGTCTCCACCTTCCCACGAGCACTGAGCTAATTCTTTGAGCACAAAGTGTACTAAAGCCACAATGGACTGGCCGAGGACAGGGGGAGGGTATGGGAGGCTCTGGGACCCGGAAGACCCGTAGGTGAGAGGGTCGGAGCCATTCCGCTGAGTCTCAGCACCAGTTTGTTTCCCAAAGAAACTTTCAGCCACGGTGACCCCTATGCTCTCCTTCTTTCCTGCCCTGTGCCCTGGCTGGGCAGTGATGCTTGGGGGGAGGGGGTGAGGATCCCCCCTATTTCTCTGCTCCTTAAGCCAAGCTTCATCCAAGGAGGTTTCCAGCAGCCCCTCTGAGGCCCACAGCGGCCCCTCTAACACGTAGATTCCATGAACACGAAGGAGCGTAGGGAAAAGGGATTCGTACCTCTACCATGTTTTTTGGGTCCTTTATTTATACCAGAGAAGCCACCCCAAATCTTTTCATGTTCAGGGCCAGTGTTAGGAAGGGAAGAATCTGATGGGTCTTCCCAACATATCTACCTCACGCTGAGCCTGATTCGCTGACACAATACCTTTATCTCCCCCTTTGATCTGCCTGTTTTAGACTTGGATTCCCTCTATTTATTTATCGGGGGCAGTGGGGGCTTATAAATCATTTGTACTTGGCACCTACAAGAACAGAGCATCATCATTGTCAAAGTCACCACGTACTGGTTTCTTACTAGATGCTCCGTAACTTGTGCACACTCTCCTATTTGCTCTTTACAACAACCCGAAGAGAAAGGGGGATGGTATTGCTCCGTCTGACAGAGGGCACCAGAGGGCACTCAGAGGGAACCGGAGGGCAAGGAGCGCGTCCATACCGCACAGTTAGTGATGAGGAATGTGGGATTACACACCAAGTCCCTCCTTTCAAAGGCGTGCTCTTGCCCACGGGACTGCTGCCCCTAGAAGAATCAAGGTGAGCAGGACTGGGAGAGGGGTCACCCCATTTTGGAGCTGCTACCCCAGCTCCACACTCTCCTGCTCCCAGGCCTTGCTCTCCCCTCCATCAAGATGCCACATGACTCTCTGCATCTCCAGCTGTCAGCCCCATGGCATTCCTTCTGTGTCGCTGGACAGACCGCCTATTGGGCACAGCCATTTCCCAGCTCACACCACCAACCCCTGCAGGACCCCGCGGCGGCCTCTCCCAGTGATGGCTGAGGCCATGCTAAATATATCTGAGCACTCACCCTGGTGAAATTCCTTCCTGAAGGCTGGAGGTGGGGCGGGAGGTGCTGGCCTCACTGTGTAGATGAGGAGAGAGCTTTACTGACTCAGTGAATGGCTTAGCTGCGTCCTGAGGCATGGGTTTTTCAGAACCTATTCCAGGGTATGGTCTCATGAAACATACCAAGTGTGTCTGATGATAAGTTCCATGCAAATGTAAGGTCCTTGCAGCTTGCGAGGAGTTACCTGGGACTGCCTTGCCACGGCGAGGGTTTGTACCTGCTGGCCCCATGGCCCCATAGATGAGCAGCCAAGAGCTCTGTGTCCCCTGCTCCTTGGCCCCTTGCCTGGACTCCTCGTCTTTACCTGTGAAAGTGTCAGTGACATCTGACGCATGCTCCCTGGAGCAGGTGGTGTCTCCCCCCCCCCCCCCCCCCCACTGCAGGTGGAGGGGGGTTCCTGCAGCAAGGCAGGCAGCCCCCCTGTAGAAGCAGAAGTTCACGTTCAGGCATTATTTCTTGGTGACTGGCATTTTGCCACTGACACCTGGCAGGTCTCACCCTGCCCATACCCTGTGCCCTAGCCGACTCCTCCTGGTAAACCAGGAGATCAGGCAGCCTGGCACCTGAGGCTGCTGAGGTTGGAAGGTGCCATTGGGAGTAGAAGGCGTGCCCATCAGCCCTCTCCGGCCTTTCCCCCACCCCCCACCCGTGGGAAAGGTCTTTCTAGGGGAAAGAGAATCCTAAGGAAGAGAAAACAGGGTGAGACCTACCATCCTTGACCGTGGGAGACAGCTTGCATGCCTGCCATCTCCGCCCATGCGGCTGAGTGGTATCAGCTCCCTCCCCCAGTGGAGAGTTAAGCTTCTTGCTCTGCATCCTGGGAAATTCTGAAGCCACAGAGCATGATTTGATGTTCCCTTGCTGCTTACTCTAAATATGAGGGTTGTACCTGGTCCTGCCCGGGATTTGGGGGGGCCTCCAGGAGTGATTCAGGATCCCCTGTGGAAGGTGCTTATGTATTGGTGGCAGGTCCTTGGACCAAGATGGCTTGAAAGCTAGTGAGTCCTGGAAAGAGAATGACCCCCCGCCAGGTGCCTCATCGAAGGGAGATGAGGTTTATTAACAGGGACCCTAGACATGGAGAGGTCCCTGGGGATGCTGCAGAAGGGGTGTCAGGCAGCTCTCCCATCCCAGCGTGGGAGGAGAGGTGAGAGGAAGGACGCACAGCCCTCACGCCCACTGCGCAGACTCCTGCAGAGACACGGGGCTGGGAGCACATACTTCCTCCCTGAGTGAGTCTGTCCGCCCTTAGTACTGGAAACATTAGCCCTTGCCTTGGTCCTGCAGGCCTGGACCGTGCACTGTAGTTCCCGTTACTCCTCGACCAGAGGAAAGGGAATGAACCGCCTTCTAATCGTGACCTTAGACACAGCAGAGGCTCCTACCCTTCCAGCAACTTGCTCTCTCCCTGTGATGCGTTTCCTGCCCACATGCCCCTGTGCGCCAGCATCAACTCCAGCCCCTCTCTCTGTTCGCCTGTGAGCCGCCGGGAAGCAGAGAACTTTTCACCCATCAAGTAGAAGAGTCACTTTAGCTAGGAGACCAAGGAAACGGAAACAAGTTCCTGACACAGTGAAAGCTGAGACCCTGACGAGAGACGACCTGTGTGTCCCAAGGAAGGGCAGTTGTTGACACTAATATCTGTATGTTTCTGTCCCTGCAGCCTTAGGAAAATCCAAAGGTACAGTATCCTGGGTAGCTGCAGGCCATGTTCAGTCTGAACGCCGAGCGCGCTGCGCCTCGGCGAGCTCTGCGAGGGGATGTGTGTGTGGTTGCTTGGCCGACGGACTTGAGGTGACTGTTCCCATCGTTGAAGTGGGACCTGAGCCGAGGGAGGCCACCGGCACCATCAGCCCGTCCTGCAGGGTAGGCAGGCGGGCGTGGCCTGCGGACGCACAGCTTGGCTGGTGCCCGGCCAGCACCGGGTCCTGCTGACTCTGTGCTCTGGACGGCAAGTGACAGAAAGGATGGCTGTTTAGATGTCTCCTGAGGCCGGTGCCTGGTTCTGGTCTCATGCTGCCCTTGTCCCTGTCCTGCTCCCCTGCGTCTCCCACCTGGGAGGAGCGAATGCCCCCAGAGAGGCCGCATTCGCACTGACAACAGCTGCTTTGGCAGAGGGTGAAGCGCAGCTGCCAGCTGGGGCGAGGCCGGCCGGCGGGCGGGGGGCTCCAGGAGTGGCCTGGCCATCAGGGGAGCCCTGCCTGTCTCCTCGCTCCCCTGGGCCCAGGAGGGTGCTAAGGCTGCGCTGCTGTTCTAACACCCACCTGCTTGAATGTGTCCGCTTCGTGGGGGAGGGGTGCCGTCTGTCACGCACGGGTAAGCACGTGTCTTTGTGTCCCTCACCAGCATGGGCGTGAGGGTGATGGACACGTCCTGGGTGGCGCGAAGAGGCTCATCGTCGGCAGGCCGGAAAGGGTCATGCGCCCCGCCCTCCACGCAGCCCCCCGCCCCTCCCGAGGAGCTGGCAGCGCCTCTGCCCTCGCCCCTTCTGGAGCAGCCCCCAGAGGACCCCGTGGTGCCCTCGCTTTCTCCATCCGGCCTGGGCCTCCAGCCTGGGGCCGAGCGGACCAGGTAAGCGCGGGCATGTTCACTGCACCCACCTCCGGCCTCGTGGACGTCCTCACCCCCATTTCTAAGCATTCCTGCTGGCTTCCTACATCGCGCTGGCGCCCAGTAAGCCACTCAAGCTCCCTTGGTTATCAGATGAAGGCCAGGCTTTCCAAGAAGTGCCTCCCAAGCCAACAGCAAATGTGTCAGGTGGCAGCTTGCAAAGGGGTGAGAGGAAGCTCAGTGCCCAGCTCTCCATTTCCTGTTTCCTCTCCTCCACCTTTACATTTGGAGGGGCCATTTTTACTGCTAAAGTGGGTGCCAATCAGGGAAGAATGGAGTTCATATGGTCACACTGGCCTGGGGACCTGCAGGAGGTCATGGGGTCACGCTGGCCTGGTGACCTCTGCAGGAGGTCATGGGTCACGCTGGCCTGGGGACCTCTGCAGGAGGTCATGGGTCATGCTGGCCTGGGGACCTCTGCAGGAGGTCATGGGGTCACGCCGGCCTGGGGACCTCTGCAGGAGGCTGCATGGCTGTTTTCCATTCTCCTGGGGGAAGAAAAAAGAGAACCAGATCATTGTATCACTAGTTGAGTGAACATTTGCAAGACCATGTCCATCCAGAGGAAAGATGCCATCTGTCCCTTGAAGGCGCCTGCCTTCCAGCGAGCAAATATCACAAATGGTTAAGGCTCACGGTCTTGCTGGGGTCTCAGCAGGAGGTGGCTGTGCCTGGCCCTTCCTTGGAAGGGGTGTGGTCAGAGGGGTTTCTAGAAGTGGGATCTGCACAGCCAACTACTTTGTCTTTTGTTTCTACCTGTTCTCAAACAGCAATCCAGAGACCTAGGAAAGCTACGTGAAATCAGAGGCCCCTGTGCAGTCAGCTTTCCCTCACGGCCACTGCTGGGAAAGGCTGGAGACTGAGAAGTGAACCTTTTAGCCCAGTCTTTCCTCAGGTGCGCATGCACCCCCACACACGCACACACACACATGTATGCATGCACATGCCTGTGTGCACACAAGCACATGCATGTGCACATGTGCACATGTCCACACATGTGTGCATACACACATGTATGCATGCATATACAAGCACGTGTGTGCACACATGCCCACACATTCGTGCACACACATGCACACAGACACACACACATGCATACACACCTCAAATGAAGGATTGCAGACTTTGTTTTTTCCCTTTAATGAATAGAAGGTATTTTCCTGTGAAACGGGAAATTGATGAAGGGATAGAGGACAGTCACGGAGTTGGAGAGGGGAACTGATGCTGGTGTTGGGTTGTTGCTGATGGCTCCAACTCAGAGGACAGGCAACCCTGGCTGGGTGCTCACTATCCTCAGGTCCCTGGAGGGATGGGCTGGGAGCGAGCTCAGTGGGGAAGCAGAGGGAGTGCGGTGGGCCCTAGAGGCTGCCGAGAGGAAGTGGACCAATAGGAGACTTGCTGCAGAGGCTCCCTTTGCAGACACTCACTGGCCCCACCCTGATTTCCCATCTCTGTTTGGTGCCAACAGCATTTGGCATTAAATGATATTTCTAGAAAATGCCCCTCAAAGATAGATTCCCCCGGCTCTGAGGTGTTCCCGAATGTTGTGGATGGGTGGCCTTGTGCGGTCACTCAAGGGCAGGGAACAGCGCCCACTGGTTCAGAGTATTCGCAGGGTCAGTCCCTGCTGCTCGTCCCCTTTCCCGTGTGACCAGTCCTGTGGCTTCCCTTTGGGTGCCAGTGTCCACACTGTCTCATCCACTCTCTCGCTCTCCCTGCGTGGATTCCTCCCAGTGGGAACCCGTGTTCCATTGCTTTTCTGTTTCTTTGTCCCGTTCCCTGGACATTTGCAGCCAGATGATGTTTCCTGCAGTTGCTGATTGCTGTCAGGGCTCCCTCCCCTGAGGATGGCAGGCCCTCCCTCCCTGTGGCTGCTTCCAACCCTCCCCTTCCCGCCAGGTCTGTCCCTCCTCCCCTCTGCCCTCCAGGCAGGCTCAGCCTCTGCACCTGTTCCTCTGCTTGGCATTAACTCTAACCCCAAACTGTTCCCTGCCCTTCGCATCCCAGCTCACTGAGCGATGCGTCCCCAAACCAACCTGCCCTCCAGCCGGCTGTACCTGTGCCTCCCTCCAGCGCGCCTGCTAACCGCTCACCCCCACCTCTCCCCTGGGCCAGCTGCACCTGTGCTGCAGAGAGAGTGTCTGGCAGCAGCGTAGGTAAACGCTTGGTTCTGCGGGAGGGGGCGCGGTGCAGGTGGGAGGAAGGAGCAGGGGAGCTCCCTGGTCCCCAGATTCTTGTCTATCTAGAGAGAAAAGAAGAGCCTGTTACCTGACAAGAAGCAATTATTTTGTTTGCTTGTTGGGTGTTTTGTTGTTTATTGTTTTACTTTACCTTCCTCTTGATGGAGGCAGAGATGGGCGGAAGGGTGGAGAGATCATTGGCATTAAGGTGATCATTGCCTGGTCACCTCAGGCCTGAAGAATAAAGAATAAGGCAAGCCTGGCTGGCATGGCTCAGTGGCTGGCGTCAACCTATGAACCAGGAGGTCAGGGTTCTAGTCTCGGTCAGGGCACATGCCTGGGTTTTGGGCTCGATCAGCGTCAACCTATGAACCAGGAGGTCAGGGTTCTAGGTCAGGGCACATGCCTGGGTTTTGGGCTCGATCCCCAGTGTGGGGTGTGCAGGAGGCAGCTGATCAATCACTCTCTCTCGTCACTAATGTTTCTATCTCTCTCTCCATCTCCCTTTCTCTCTGAAATCAATAAAAAATATATATTTTTAAAATTTTTTTAAAAAGAGTAAGTTGAGGGTTTCAGGCTGTGGTTGCTTCTATTGTTCATCCACAGAATAGAGAAAGGAGCTAGTGCCGTCTGGCCCTCTGGTGAGACGGTCTTCCCCTTGCAGATCACTGTAAATATTTCTCTCTTTTCTGCATCCAGTGCAGCTAGAGAGCAGTTCGGTTCCTGAATAGGGGCTGCTGGGAATTGAGAAAATGAAAGAAAGACAGACACAGAGATGGAAGGAAAAAGCTGGGGCTGGGTGGGACCACTGTCCTCTGATGAAGAGACAGGGACTCAGAGCCAATACAGTGCATTCATTTAATACAGCAAAAACCAGGGAGTTTTACTAAAGGTCAAGACAAAGGAGATTATGTGCATTCTTGGGTGGGCCCGGGTCATATTCATTTCCTGGTGCTTGGCTGGATTTAGATAACAAAACCCACCCCCTGGTGCCTGGGCTGAAGGTCAAGCTGACAACACTCCTGCCTCTGGCAAGGCATGTTTCCAGGACGTGGCTCTGCCAACGCCACTGGATTCAGCTGACAATAATTAAAGAAATGCCCATGTGCCTTCCCAGGCGCTCTCTACAGATCACCAGCTGTGGGGTGACACTCATCCTTAACAGGGGCCACCTACTACCGCCTGTGGCCTTCCCTTCGCTCCCCCACCCCCGTGGGGAAGACCTGCTCCAGGGCCCTCCCAGCCTTTTCACCAAAACCCGGTGGGATGAGCTGTATATTCCCGGCTCTGTCATTTAGAGTTTCTAACAAATTTAGGAAGAAATGGCTGTCGCTACTTGTGGAGAAGAAATAACCATTGCGCAGGATTTAGGTTTCCATACTTCCTGTGTCCTGTGTGAGGACATCAGAGTCCAGGTGGGTTCTCACTAGGATGAAGTTAGCTCCTAACTCCAGGTCACCTCCTGGTTCTCTAGGGGCTGCCTGCAGCATTCTGCTGAAAACACGGGAGAACCCTGGCCGGTTTGGTTCAGGGGTTAGAGCATCGGCCCTAGGACTGAAGGGTCCTGGTTTCAGTCCCGGTCAAGGGCATGTACCTCAGTTGCAGGCTCGATCCCTGGCCCCGGTCTGTGCAGGTGTGGGAGGGAGGCGACCAATTGATGTCTCTCTCTCTCACATCGATGTTTCCCTTCCACTCTCTCTAAAAGTCAATGGAAAAAATACCTTTGGGTGAGGATTAACAAAAAAAGCAAGAAAGAAAAAAACACATAAGAATGGAGATCGATTGGTAATGTCTGTCATGGATGGCATGTTGGGGGATGGTAGGGAGGGAGGAGTCAGTATTGATTAGCTGGCCCTGGTCTGGGGGTGGACTATGAGTAGGGTGCACTTTATCCTTAGGAGGCAGCCTGAGGAAGAGCCAGCAGTGAAGGGTGGACCCTCCTTGGGACCTGGAGGTTCAGGGTGTCCCTTGATCAATTGAAGGGGCTCCAGAGGCCCTCGGTGCCATCGGCCCTGGTCCCCTCCAAGCATGGGGGGCTGGGACTGAACTGCCCACATTTGGGAGCACAGCCAGCTTCTATTCCAACCCTACCATTGCTGGGATCTCCTGAGCTTAAGGATGGGTCCCCAAAGTCCTCCCCTGCTTGGGGGCTTTATGGGGGTGCAGGGAAAGCAGCTGGAGAGTGGGGAGCCATGGCCACGCAGTCATCAGATCTCACTCGGCACACGGGCTCTGCTGTGCTGTGGATTCAGGGGACAAGAGCACTTCGGTGTCCCAGTTCCCAAATGTCCAGGTCCCAGTGTGGCTCACAGGACAGAGGGGGAGGTGCTCGGGGCCTGCTGCCCGTCGCTCATAGTCTCTGGTGGTGAGGGAGCTGGCAGCCAGTCCCAGGCAGAGGAGGAAGTAGGGCCCAGCCATCAGAGCCCCAGGAGGGCCAGCACCACCAGGGTCGTCTGGGAGGCTGAGGAAGGGCCTGAGACGCCCAGAGCCGGGCAGACTGCGCTGGTGAGACAGGCATGTTCTGCATCCACGGGGAGGTGCTGAGTGGCCTCTTGTCCTGTGTGTTTGTGTTTCAGCGCTTCTAGAAGCAAGGAGCTTTCTCCAGGATCTGGGCAGAAGGGAAGTCCGGGTTCTAGCCAGGGGGCACCCTGTGCCGGGACGCCAGCAGGCACCAGCCCCGGCCCGCCGCCGGCCGACCAGAGCCCCCACACTCTCCGGAAAGGTACGTCCCGCCACCTGCACCTGCATGTTGCCTGGGATGGCTGCCCGCTGCCTGGAAACTCACTTCCCCACCAGCCTGGGTGCTCAGACACCCTGTGGCCTAGCGAACCGGTCCCCATCTGTGCATTAGTGGTTAGAGGTCGACCAGCTCCCAGAGGGACATTTCATCACCTTTCCTCAGTTTCCTCGTTTGAGCAGTGGGCTCTTCAGGCGGGTGGAGGGTCTGGCTTTCTGTACACCAGGACCTCTGCCTGGGGTGATGCGTGCCTTCCAGGCCCCACCAGGCCCCCGCAGCCATCTGTTGTACGGGGCCTCCTGCCCCCCACCGGGCCTCACCCAGCTGCCTGCCCCTGGGTTGTTTGTGGGATGTGACAAAGAGGGGGACTGGTGGCTTGTCCCGGAGTCCTGCCCTTCATATTTATGTCTTAGAGCTCCGGGAATTCCTGCTAAGCCGCGCCGCCCACCCCAGAATCTGCCATGAAACGCACTGTAAAGGCCATTATTCCCTCTGAAATGACCCCCAAGCTGACGACCTGCTCCTGGTGACGGTTCACCAACGGGGGCCTCAGGGAGGGGAGCGTACCCAGCCTTTCTGTTCGCTTTCATCTATGCCGTCGCTTTGCAGGCTTCACATTGTTTAAAGGAGCCTCGTGTTGGCTTTGTCCTCGTTCCAGCCTCTCCAGCGCCTCGGTGGGGCTGCAGCTCCAGGGCTGGTCACCTTGTCATCGCACACCTTCAGGGCCGGTGGCTTTCCGCCTGCCCGGTGCCAGGCCACAGGGGCACCCATAACCCTAGTCTGCCCTCAGCAGCCTTCCTTCTGTCCCTTCCCATCATGCCTCATGCACTCCACAAATAGTTGTTGGGCCCTACTGTGTGCCAAGCTCAGAGGGTGTAACCGTAGCAGGCGCACAGTAGGGGTGTAACCGTAGCAGGCGCAGCTCTCAGGAAGGTGAGCGTGGAGCGGTACCGCAGGTGGCAGCGCGGGCACTGCTCACACGGGCCCTTCCACACACAGGCGCTGGGCCGCAGCGGTGGGCTGGGGTTTCAGCATCCAGGGTTCCTCCGGCACCCATAGGGTTCCCTGTGGTCTAGAAACAGTTCTTTGGCGGTTTGTGTGCAAGGCCTAACCCTCCCCAGCCCTACACTGGGGTGATGGCTAAGCCATCGCTTTGTCCACAGGAGTCAGGGCTCATGCCAGCGGCATGCTGGACTTCCCTCCTCACAGCAACAGGGCCTCTGGGGGACTCAGGTCCCTTCCCAAGGGCGTTTGGTAGCTCAGTCATCACTGAAATATGCAGCTTTCTCCGCCTCCTCCACCACCGGCACACTTGGCGGTTTTAACGCCTCCGTCTTTTGGTATCACGGCCTTGTCCTGTAACTTCCCGGAGTGGCGATGTCACACAGGCGTCTTGGTGCTGTCACTGCTCCCCTTGGCTCCTTTGGGAGAAGACAGGTTCAAGCATGGTCCCTGGTCCCCACCTGCTCCTCACCCGGGGAGCAAGTCCCGCCCGGGCCGGCAGAGCTGCGGGTGGTTTATTAAGTCAGGATTATACGGGGCTTCCTGCACACGGTCTCATTGCATCCCTGCCGTGCTGTGGAGAGATTTACGGGCGTGCCCCGGGGCACAGTGGGAAGACGGAGGCATTTGGGCCTCATTGATTGACCCTGGAGAACATGTGCTTGCCTTTTCCACGCTGCACACGGAAGGAGCCAGGGCCATGTGTGAGGTGCAATCAGCATAGGTTTTGTTCCATGGAAGGGGAGGTCCCTGAGGCCTCCTTGGGGCTAAAGGACAATCTCTTCTGGAATTAGTGGCACCACAGGCAGCCCCACTGGGCTGACAGGTTGCCCTGGATGTTCCCACTTCTCATCCTCCCGGGCATTTCCAGTTCGAAGTGAAATGTAGTTGTCATCCTCCAGCAGGACTAAGTCAATACACAGGGACATGGAGGCCTGCAGAGGAGGTCGGGGCACGCTGTGCCCTGTGCACAGGTGGAGGGCAGGGCGGGCGGAAGGGCAGCACCGGGCGCCGGGTCTCTGTGGCCCACCTACAGGCTATTGGTCACTGAGGCCAAAGGTCAGCTTCCGATGCTGACAGTCGCCCGTCCTGGGCCCACCGTCACATGTTGAACTCTGATTGTCGTCTGGGCCATGGCACTGGCTCACTCTTCCTTGGGCCACCGATCCCTTTGTCACCCCAATGGTGACTGGCGCTGGGAAGCCAGCCATGGCCTGTTGGGGGGGAAATGTGTCTGCAGCCTGCTGTGTGTGTGTGTGTGTGTGTGTGTGTGTGTGTGAGAGAGAGAGAGAGAGAGAGATAGGGGAGGGAGGGGAGGGGAGGGAGAGAGGGCAGGAATCCAGAGAAGAGGAGAAATTAGTGAACAGAAATTAGGGAGAACGTGAAAACTTGCAAGTCTAGGTGAATTTTTAAAAATTGTGTTGCCTGCTCTCAGGGTGCCAAGGGCTGGGGTGGCGAGGGTAGGAGGGGGTGAAGGGTGTGCCAACGGCCGCATGGACCCCGGGCGTCATGGAACAACCTTGTGTGTTGCTGTTGTGTTTTCTCTTCCAGTTTCCAAGAAGCTGGCACCGATTCCGCCCAAGGTCCCCTTCAGCCAGCCAGGCGCTATGTCGGAGCTGCCCACCGGCCAGCCGTCCCCACTCAGCCTGTCACCTACGCCCCCGAGCACCCCGTCACCCTACGGACTCAGTTACCCGCAAGGGTACCCCTTGGCCTCGGGCCAGCTCTCCCCGGCGGCAGTGCCCCCTCTGGCCTCTCCTTCCAGCTTCGCCAGCACTTTAACCAAATCGCGGCCCACCCCGAAGCCCCGGCAGAGACCCACGCTGCC